CCCACACCCACACCCACACCCACACCCACCCACACCCACACCCACACCCACACCCACACCCAGCTGCTAGATTAGCTGCTGCTGGTTTAGCTGTATTGATTAATCGAATTAGAAAACCTCATGTTACTGTTGGTGTAGATGGATCACTCTATCGATATCATCCACGTTTTAAATATGATATGAAAAGATATATGGAATCATTGGTTAATAAAGATTTTCAATTCACATTAACCTTATCTGATGATGGTAGTGGTGTAGGTGCTGCTATGGTTGCTTGTGTTGCTGATGCTTCTCCATGCAAAGAAACTCGTGTATATGATGAAGAAATAGTTAGCTAAAGGCGACTATAAAGATCTGACTGTGTATCACGAATTATCGATAGATGATGCCACATTCGCTGTATTCTACGATAACTCCAGCAAATGTGGCCCCATCTATCGACAATTCGTGGTACACAACAGAATTTTATAATATATGTACCACTGGATAGAGAAAGTCTCACCATACAAACCTAAATATATCCAATTCTGTAGTCAAATATGACCTTGAAATTTATAGTCGCCATCATTCTTTGTTTTTTCTGTTCGCATACTAGGAACGTTCTTATATAGGAAGTCTTTTATTTTCTGTTTTTTTTTCGCTTTATATTTTTTGTGTACATAGTGTTTATATCATATGTCGTTGTAACTATTTATCTTTAGACTATATTTTGCGATTTGTTAGCAAAAAAATAGTCAGAAAAAGCAATAAATAACAAACATCAATCATAAACAAAAAAGGCTTATTACATTTTATCAAAAGATCACCTGCTTTTTTCCAGAGAACGTTATATTAGTAAGTAAATAGAAACGCGTAGAAATTAAACAAGTTTCTTAATAACAACAACAACAGATAGCTGTTCAAGAAACACACCACTCACTGGCTTGTCTTGTTCAAACTTTAAATTACACTCACGTCCTTGTCGTAATGGATTAAACAAAATCACACTATTTAAGGGTCTGAATGTGTGTGAATGCAGCTGTTGCTGTCAGTGTGGCTGCGCTGTGGGTGTGACTGAAAGAACAACACCCACACCCACACCCACATACTCACACACCCACACACCCACACCCGACATCCGCACTCATACTCACATCCCACCCTTCAATATTTTCGTTTGTTCTTTATCATGTGATTCTCTTTTTTTCTTGATTACAATTTAAAAATAGCAATGCATTTCATTGAAGTGATTAAAAATCAGTCACACAGGAAATTACTTAAAAGCAAATAAAAAAACATTCATTTGATCAAACGCGCAACTTTCGATTAGTTTTTTTATTGTCTCCGATCACTTCAGGGGAGCTTCTATTAGTTATATTATTAGCGAGCCATCTCGGTGTCGTTAATATTGGTCGCTCAATATTAGCCTGCCGATTAACATCATTTTGTTGCGTTTTGACTTGTGGATCATTTTGTGTTGCTTCTAATCCTTTCAAAATGATAAATGTATGTCGCAATAAAATATCATCACTAATTTTAAAGGATTTAATATCATCGGTAGTCACATCAACAGTCCATATGTCACAACGAGTCACATATTGTTGTAAGGGTACATCAAAACTCAAATTAGTATTCATTGAAACACGTACAATAAGTCTTTTGAGCATATTAATCCAGCAATCTAATTTTTTCAGACGAGGAGCTATTGTTATGGTTCCTGATGTCATCTCAATAAATTGACCGATAAGATGATTTTGTTTATCGTCTGAAAATAGTAATGTTTCAGGTAAATCTTGTTTGATATTGTTTCGTAAAATTTTTTCGAATATAATCTCTTCAATTAATTCGTACAAGTCAATGATATATTTAAGTTCAATTGTTGAAAGCATAGAATCTCGAAGTAAATTATCACTGAGACATATTTTTGAATGAATATATTGTTCGACAAAATTTTTAATTGTTAATATTGATGCATTCTTATATTCAAAATGACGTAAATATGTAAAGATATAATCAAGTGAACCAAGATAGTGAAGAATGTCATCATTTGAAATGCTTTTAATTAAATTTTGCAATTCAGTTCGTTTCTTATTGACCAATAGCTCTTGCTCGATACGTCGTCGAACATCAGTAATCAACGATGTATTTTCGTCGTAGAGTTCAAATTGATAATTTAGAAAATGTAATCTTTCCGTATCAATTAACGGTAGACAACTGATCTTGTCACGAAGCATAAATTCAATTTCTTCATAATCATAAATAATGTCTTTACCGTTTCCATAAATATAGTTTATAATAGATCCATCATCAATCAATTTTCTACTAATGAAATCCTTATCGAAACAAAGAAGATGCTTTTGTTGAATAGCTTGTAATGATATAACATGTGGCTGAAGTTTTTTATTCATTGAATTAGAATTCATAATGTTATGAAAATGTTTAACAATATCATTTTGTAATTCTGCAATGGTTGTTAAGCAAGCAATTAACAAAAGACTGTTGTTATCTCCTGATGAATTCAATAATAATTTAGAAATCTCTGTTCTTTTTGCAAAATCTTTCGATGAATACGTATGTTCAAACATTATAGCCTGAGCACCTAAACGAACTTCTTTAAAGTTAAGTTTATACCATGCCTGAATAAAATTTTCATATAATTTTAAAGTTTCATCTTTATCTGAATCATTGAATAATACTTCACTGATTGTTTTTTTAGCTGCATTTTTACGCGTTATTCGATAGTTCAATTTTTGGATTAGATAATTTGTAAACATAACAATTGGATAGAGATATTGAATATTTGTATAATCATCATATCGTTGAAGTAAAAATATTGTCATTGGATATGCTTTTTCGACATTCGGTATTATTCGAAGTTTAGCACGAAATGCATCCATCGGATTACTTATATGAATATTGGTTATGTTGAAAAAGTTCAATAGAGGATATTCATTTTCATTTTCAAAAAGTTCATCGATTAAATCATTCAATGTTGGTTGATTATCTTTTTGTCGTAGAAATTCTTTATATTTTAATTTATATTTTCGAATTTCTTCGGTTATTGAATCAACATGAGGAATAATCAATTTATTTTCAATACATTTCTCGAATTCAATTACATTTCGTTTATTATTCAGAAAACCACCTTGTAAGGAATTACCATCGATTAGATGATTAATCAATTTAAAGAACCACAGATGACATTGATTAGGTTGAGTTGATAATTGACATAGAAATTCGTAATCGTTTTCAAAATGTTCTCGATAATAGTTACGATCAGGTAAACATGAATCATCTAACAGATCAAGTTCACATAAGCAAAGTAAGACAGCATGAATCATCATATGAATAAAACGAAATGAGATAGATAAATTGAGATGATCGGGTTTTTCATTTATATTACTCTCTTGTACAGGCGTTGTCCTAGGATAACCAAATCGTGACTTATCATTGGACTCTTCACTATCAACTGGATCATTTGATATGAGACCTGGTAAACATACAAAATTCTTCAAGTGTTCTGCATAATTTTTTGGCATTTTGAGTTTCTCATCAAAGAGAATACTGCTGAGATAAGTTGATGTTTTAAAAGCTTTAGAAGAGAGAAACACAGCAACGATATTGAGTGCAACAAGACGTCGATGCAACTGGTCTGCAGTCATTGTTCGATTTAATTGAAAATAAGAATTGTCACGAAAATTTTCACATAAACAATGACACAGTTTAAAACCAATAGGTTCAAAACAGGCATTCAATTCCGTATGTAGTTCGTCGAAAAGATGTCTTAAATCATTATTTGGTATGTTCATTTTATAGCAATTTACATAACGATGCACGAAAAAAATAATAAAACAATACGATGAATACACGTTCTCTGAACATTTGCCAATTAAGTTTTTCAGTTTATTCACTACTTTACAATTGTCAAGTGTATTTTTGATATCTGTGTATTCTAGAGAAGCCTCAAATAGAGGTGTTGGAAGAATAATGTTTTGCTCAAATTTTCGTTCTTGTTGGTGATTATATTGTGAAAAAATCGTTTTAATCCAATAACAATTACGATTGACAAAAATGTCATATAATTCTCTCAGTTCAATGTAATACATTTGACATAATTGTTTGATAATATATATTTTTAAAGTCAAACCGAATTTAGATTCATCATTAGTAAGTAGTTTATCAATATCTTCCATAATCTTGCTATGATTATCTCTACTCAAAGAAAATGCATACATTTCAGTATAGACTTTGAGCCAAGCAATTGAAACAATCATTGAAAGTCCATGAGTAGATTTATCACTATAGATATTTTCTCGAAAATAATCATAATAGTCGGTTAAGTATCTTTCAATTACATCTTCATCAGTAATAGAATTCATAAGATAAATATGTATGCGATTGATCATAATACGTTCAATTTTTTGTGTCTTATCATTTGATTGAGAGAAATATTGATCAAGACCTTCAAGTTCAAAAATTGATGATATTTCTGTCATTCTAGTTTTAATTATTGACATTAAATCAAGTTTTTGATCGATATATTTGAATATTTTCGCTGCATAAAACCATAAATTCTTATCAGATTTGCTTATAGATTCAAGAACAGTACAATACTGTTCACTATGATCGATTAACCAATTTTTTAAAAATTCCATTTCAAGTTTGAGCATTGGTCGACAATTCAATAGATTCAATGAATTTTTAGTTTCAATTTTGATCATTTTACCTAAATTATCTATAAACATACGAATGGTTTCACATGTCGAAAAGTTGCCATTGAAAACAGTATTATTATTCTGATTAGTAAGACAAATATTTTTAAACACAATTAAGGCCCGATCACTAGGAAGTAGATCCATAATACAACGAACAAGACTATCGAAACAACGCAATTTTTCTAGATTATTGATTGAGTGATGATTTAAAGAAAGTACACCTTGTACAACAAGACTGTATGCTGTTGACAACTGTGCAATATTATCGATATATCGAATAGTTGATGAAGAAATGAGTAATTCTATTAAGTTCATTAAACTTGTTTCAATAAATGGATCACCATCACATTCATAAGGTTTATTATTTAATAATTGTTGTGGTGGAACTTGATAAAATTGTTGTTCTACCTGAACAAGAATATAAAGATTACTCGAATTATTGATCGTTGTCATTTGTGTCGCGTCATAGGTGTAAAATTGTTCATCGAAATTCCATTTTTCTTCACCAATAAGTTCTATACCGATCTCGAATAAATGTAATAATTCAATTAATTCGTCATGATAAAGAAGAAGATGCTTAAGTTTATCTTCGACAGTTAATGTTGGATTTGATGTTAACAAACGTTGTGTAAACGAAACAGTTAAATGATCAATTCGTAATTCATCTAATACAATTGCAAGTTGATCGTGATAATAGTGTTCAAATAATTCTAAATTATCAAGTATATTTTCAATATTCTTTCCATAGACACTTGTACTTCGTAGTTTTTCCATTGCGAAATCTAACAACTTGTCATCAGAAAGATTAATATCAATATTTTCGTTCGGTTTTTTTATCATCTCATGTATTTGACGAATAATCTCACGTTCGAATCTTGCACAAGGTAGACGAAGATCAAAAATGAGTGAGATTTCAATTGTATTCATACATGTTATTGTTTGTTCCATAGATTCAAATGTTAATTTCAAACAATCAAACCAAATACATTTTAAATTTTCGTATATAATTTCATTCGTTTTAGATATAAGAAATATATATGAATCTATCAGTGAAGATTTTTCAAGATCAACCAAAAGCATTAAGAAATAATTACAATTATAGAGTAATATTGTCATTCTCAAAGCATCATCAATTGAACGACATGAACCAATAATTGTTCCATTGGTGAGTAGGTCATGGCGCCAATCAATAAATTCAGAACGACTATGATTAAAATCAACTGTTCGTATTAATTCTAAGAGACGATTTTTAATAATCATATGAAGAGATTCTATATCGATATTTGATTGAGACAATAATTTGATTATAGAATCACGTCGATTATTGATTAAACTTTCTTTATCTTTGCATGCAACTGTATATCGAACTCTTATAAAAGATCGAATAATAAGTTCATTGAAAGTAGTATTTGATAGAGAAAAATCTGCATGAAGTAAAAGATTACGATATGAAGGATTAGTTAAAACATCCCATGATATAAGTTTGTGTTTATTAAGATTATCAATCATGACCGGCGACCATCCATTAAACAAAATATCATCTTTAATTTCGTGCATGATATTACGTTGTAAATGAAATACTAGCCATATTCCATGATCACTTGTTGGTATTCTCTCATTTACAACGAGATGTTTGAGAAATAGAACGTGTTTATGTTCTTCATGATAATCAACACGAATAAGTAATAGACGTGCATTACTTGATCGATAATGTTCCTTAATTTTTCTTCTTAGTTCAAATTCACTCTTAAAATTACCTACTTTAACTTCAACAACAAGATCATTATTGTTTATATATTCAATTTTTTCATATATTTGTGTATAGGTATAAATGATTTGATTTGAAATTATCGATTGATTTAATGTTTGATCAATTAAATTTGAAAACAAAACATGATTATGTATATTATAATATTCTTCTATTAATTTTTGAATATTGTCATCATCATTAATTTTACATGATAAATGAAGAGGAAGATCAAACGAACTTGTACAAATTAGTTTCTGTTTACAATATCGGATGACTGCGTCTCTTTGATTGTCGTTATCATCTTCCGAAATTTTTAAATAATCAAATGCATCCATGACTAAATTATGAATATAATCTGGATTAAAATCAACAAAAAGATGTTTCTTTTGTGGAAAATTTTTATTTGTATTGTATGATAATAATTTATCAATCCATTCTAAGAGATTGGATGCAATTATTAAATGACATGAATGAATAAGACTTTCAATATCAATGATATGTTTTTCGAAACGATTGAGAAAAGGTGGATCACATCTTACTAAATCTTGTTGTCGAACAAATATTACACAAAAGAAATCATGATGAATAAGAAAACGTGGATGATAGAGATCACCGAGTGTAATACGACAATATTTTTTAGTTCCTGATACATCAAAATTTTGATTAAATAAATCATAAAGATTTGCATATATATGATCCATTCGGCGTATTATCAAAGTTACATTTGTTTCAGCATAAAGAATTATATCCATTAATACTCTTCGATTATATTGTTCACTATAGGTTGTACCTGTAATTAAATCATCTGTTAGAGAACTACCAATTAATGTTCGTGTTGATTGTTGTTTAGCATTGATATATCGTTCGACATAATCAAACATGCTTTCATTTGCTCCGATTAACATTAAATATCGACCATTATGTAATGAGAGAGATCGATCGATCATTTGATTAAATGTTGGTGGTTGTTCTTGTTCGATTAAACACTCTTGACAAGCATATTTACAAAAACGTTTCCATAAAAATTGTGAGCCATCAAAAATTCCATCAAAATTAATTCCTAATTGTCGTCGAACACTAGTATACGATTCTTGTTCTGTTGATGCATGTATTAAATCATTTACAACTCCTTTAATCAAAGAATAAAAGTCACGTAGACCAAAATAGTTTTTATATTTAGATTGTTCATTCATATATTCGTATAAATCAAAATAGGCAGCAGCAAGATTTCTAACAATTGAAGTATCGATTGGAATAAGATGATTAGAAGTTTCAAGTAATGAAGATGCTATAGTTTCTGCTGTTAATCGTAAATCATGTACAGTTGGATCAGCACAAGGTAAATATAATGCACGATTCATTTTTGCTGCATCAAGAGACCAATTCGATATACCAATAAAACCATATCTACATGTTTCCATTTCTAATTTACTGTGAAGTACTTTTAATGGATTATGTGAAGATAATTCAGCAAGACCAATTTCATCAAAGACAATCACAGGTAAAATATTAGTATTTCTTTCTACATCTAAATATTTTTCGGCACATTCAAATAATTTCATAACATTTTCTGAAGTACAATTTTGTGAACCTTGATATGGAATAGGAATTAATTCAGGTAATGTTTGAAACAATTTTTGATTAGATCGGTTCCCTTTTAAATTATTTAGTACAATATTAACAGCTAATGTTTTGCTTGAGCCAGGTTTACCACATAGAATAACTGGTATTCGATTCAAAACGCATGCAAAAATAACAAAGATATTATCAATAAGTACTCGATTTTTGGCCGTACCCGGTGGTAATTTGATCTTGTCAATCAATTTCATTTGTTGATTTCGTAATAATCGAATTAAATACTTTGATATGTTGCTTTTGTCTTGATATTCGTTGCTAAGCACTACTGAAATATTATTTAAATAAGATTCTCGTAATTCAGAGGAACTAAGACGGAGATAATATGTAAGAAGAAGTGCAACGAGAGTTGTTTGTTGAATAAATTCTTGATTCATAATCCTAGAATGTTCAAAGATGAATTCAGGAGATAAATTTAGAAGCCAATTATAAAATCGACAGAAGCGTGCAACATCACGTAAAGATACGCTACTCTTATCTTCATTCATACGAAAGAATTGCTGCGATATTGAAACTAATGATACTGTATAATCTAACCATGGCATGTCACCTGAGATTTTATTACATTTATTTAGCATTGTTCGAATATAGGCAATTTCTGTTTCTCCATCCAGAAATCCATAATCCCAAATATACTCAAGCATTGTTTCAGGAATTGGAACTACATGATATATTAAAGACTCTCTACCTAAACGAGCATTCAACCGTTGAATATCATAAGGATCTTTTTTGATTCCGATATTATCATGAAGAATACTTTTGGTTTTTGTCCATCGTTGTGGATTACATGCTCCTAAGAATATCATGTTGTCTGGTAGTGGTTCTCCGAGAAGCGTTCGTTCACAAATAATCTCCTTGAATAGACCAATAGAAGAAGTAGTATTAAATTCGTCGAAGAATACCCACAATCGTTTGTTCTTGTTGCTATTCAAACATTGATTTGCTTTTATTTGAAACTCGAACATTTTCTCGATGATTGTTGCATTTGTAATACCAGCATGTATACGAAAAACAGCTAACTCATCATCGAGAATCTTTTCGCATAAGAATTGAATCAATGCCGTTTTACCACATCCTATTAATAGAAAAGAGAAGCCTTATGTTATATAGTTTTTTTCATTATAAGATAACAACGGTTATCGAGACCTTGAAATAGACTGTTAGTCGTCGAAAAAAAAATCGATTCCGATTGTGAATAAGTATCAAAGCGATAGCTCCAAATACACTCACATTTTAGACTGTTACTTCCTACCCAAAAGATTCAAGGTCAATATTTCTAGTTAAAGAATGATATATTTTATTGACGCTATAGATATTATCTCATTATGTCGAAAATCTTAAGAATCAACAAATATCTCTATCACAAAATAAATATCAAAGATTACCCTTTTATGAGTATATCCATTGTCAATCGTAATTAATACTTAGAAACCCATTTACTCGGATCAGCAACGACGATATATCCTTTTATTCGTGGTACTGATCTCATAACGTTGATTAAATCAATGACACACATACAGCTTTATTACGTTATGTTTCATCATCATGGTCAGTCGGCTGTATTTACAGATAGTTCAAAAAGTCTTGGGACGCTAAAGGGCATCATATCCTTTATCAAAATCGATTTTACTTCAGAAACAAGAAATCGAATGAAATTGTCAGCCTTATAATAAGACGTGTGAAGGAGAGATTCACCAAACAAGAGTCAACAAAAGTTCATTTGATAGTCCGAAAAATTATCTGTAGACCTGCATTTTATATATTTAATAGTTTTTTATTGTGATAGACCTTATCAGGTTGCAGGGCATGACAGAGTTTTTGTTTTAAATTTTTACACTTCTTTTTTCAGCATAAAAAGTAAAAATTAAAAAAAAAAGTTCTATGATATTGTGCAGCTTGACATGATCTTTCAAACGAAAAAAAATAAATAAATATATAGAATGAAGACTCGCAGAGAATTTTTGAGCTATCAAGTGAGCGATTGTTGACCTTTTTTTGGTGAATATTTTGGTCAAACGTCTTACTATAGGACTGAAAATTTTATCTGATTTCTTGTTCCTGGATCAAAATCAATTTTGAGGAAAGATGGGTGGCCATAAGTATCGCAATACTTTGTGGATTACCTGTATAGAAAAATGCGGATTTTGATACAATTATATAGGGCATCGATGACTCTCTATTAAAACATAATTTCGATTTTATTTATGAATATAGATGTGAGAGAACTAAACGTTCAAATTTCTAATCATGATTTTGTACGAAAAAACTTGTCAGTACAGTCTTTTGCGGGGCCGAAGTGTGAAACTTACAATCTTTGATTTAAAATTATAAGAATTTTTATTAGTTGATACGCGCGCAGGCTCTGAAATTTTATTTTTTCGAAGCATCACATTTATAATTACTTTTCTATCAATTTATTTATATAATAGATGATCGCATGAATACTTAATATTACCTGTTTCACCAATAAGTATAACAGGAAGACGGCATTGCACCCTTAAATATATTAAAAGTGCTTTAACATAATTATCCGCTGTCCATACGTATTCTTTTTCGAATATATTTGCAAATTTCAGTTGAAATTCTTTGATATCTGAATCTTTGAATTCTTCTTCTTCTTTTTTAGGTCGAATCAATTGACCTTTGTTTCCACAATTCATACATATTTGGGCATTGTATTCATGCTGTTTAAAACAAATGTTACATACCGATTTGATAAAATATTTTGGCGATAGTGATGCAAGTCTCATGAAAAAATCTGAATGTTTAAGTTGATTATGATCAGGAAATAATAATTCTTGTTGTTTTTGTCGTTGTCGTTCTGCTTTTTCTTTATTGAAAAATAAAAATCGATTAAAAAACCTTTTTCGAACTGGTGCTATAGTTGCATTGATTAGTGAACGTGGTATATCATTTCTTTTTTTAAAGACAAATAATGGATCATTCGAATCAGTAAATATGACTGTAAATGGTTGTAATTTATCCCATCGAATAATTGCTTCATCTAGTTTAAGGTTATCATTACTTGTTGAACGTTGATTTTTTCGTACAGATTCAACTGACAAAGATGTAAATTGATCAGACGATTCGAGTAGATGTTGAAGAATATCCATGCGAAGTGATGAATTTTCTGTAAATTCAGAAAGAAAATAACCACACTTCGAGAAACCCGAAAATAAATAATGATATATTGTCACTAAAATTTTTAATCGTGTCCAACTAATTTGTTTATTATCTTTTTTGCCTATAAATTGTTTTCGTAAAAGTTTTGCACAAGTCATTTTGTCAATTTCATCCAAATTTTCTTCATTAATATCTTTTTCATTAATTGTCTGTTCATTAATTGCTTGAAGATAATTAATAACTAATTGAATACCTACTAAATAATGAATATTCATTTGGTTCCATTCGATAAGAAGAATTTGAAGTTTTTCAAGATTTTGCAAAATAATTATTTTTTCAAATAGACTTGTCATTTGTGGAGATGAATCAAGTTCGATATATATTGGTACATCAACATCAACATTGATAGCCACGGATTCACAACGAAAACTACGAAACAGAATAATAGAATATAGGAATTCATTTAATTGGTTAATATCATGAATAACGCCAATATCGATATGAATAGCTATTTTTGATGATGATGATGAATCATTTGCACAATTGCAAAAACGTGTTACCAAACTTTCCATATCGATGTTACCACTAATCGGAAATTTTATGTATTCTTTACCAGATTCATGTATTATGTTTCGAATAATAGTCGATTTGCCAAGACCAGCGATAGGCGATGTGACAAGAAAACAATTTTTTTTATTTAATTTCTCAATTTCTTCTTTGAGTTTGATTATATTCAACATTTGGTAATCATAGATCTCGTGAACAAGCTCCAGAGCTTTCAAACTATTAATTAATTGCTGATTTATACTTGATGATGCGGTTATAATACCAAATTGAAAACGACGATCTGGTTGCGAACTAATCATTTGATGTAAAAGTTCAATAAATTTATCCTGAACTGATAATGTTAACAGTTCCGGTCGAATAAGTTGGTGAAATTTTTCTGAATAGAAACAACGATAGGCAAATGCTCGCATTTCCATCCAAGTTGTTCTTTCTGTACAATAAAATAATCGATTAAATCTAGCTGGTACTTGAACAAATGTAAAGAGAGAAAGTATAGCACGCATAATACCTTCATCAGATGTTTGAACTAGTAGTACTCTATTATTAGTCAAATATTTTTGTTCATTTATTTCTATGATTTTAGTTTTTTGAGTTGATAACATTTGACCAACTTTTTTAAGACGATTTACTGGATCTTGGTTCATATCGAGTAGAAAATCGTATTGAATTAGTTCAGGTTGTATACCAATATACTTAAGCAAATGATAAGCATTATTGATAACTGTCGTTCGATTGTACAAATAACGTTCGACTATCCAAAATTGTTGATAAAAGAAATAGGTTAATGAGATATGTTCTTTGTATAATTCACACAAATGATATTCCCATTCAACTCGTAATTTTTCAATTGTCTGTTCAAATTCAATTAATTTATTGTATTTGCCTTCAATACATGTAAAAGTTTTGCTTGATTCTAGAAGAGATTGAACACAAGGGTAACCAACCATATTGAGTTGTGTCAAGTTTCTGATTATGTTTTCAATAGTATCAACAAAAGAAACGAATGAATGAAGCATTTCAGTATCTTGTTCTATATCATCTTGTGTTTTAATTCTATTCGAATATTCGATAAGTCGTGCACGATCACGAAGATCACTAAGTTCATTGAAATTTATTGTAATGTCATAATTATAATTTAATTCGTAAGGTTCTTTGAGTCCTTGTTGGCCAAGACTTTTAAAGCTAAATGAAACATTTTTCATAATGTTTAAAATTTGTCGTCTTTTCGAAAGTCTTCTTTCTGTCAAATTCATGTAAATATATTGGATACTAGGTAATAATAGATGACAAGACTCGAAGCATTCAAATATTGTTTTCGATTGATCCACTTCCAATAAACGTTCAACACAAGCTGTAACCCTATCTAATGTAAGAATTGATGATGATTGTTCTTGAATCATTTTAATTCTATCACTAAGTTGATCTAGAAATGTTTTCAATGTGACTAAATCGAGAATTGTTTTTGTATTGATTAATGTTTCATCCCAACCGTTGACTGTTTCACGTAGATTATCGACATCGGATGCTGAAAGAGAATAAAGAAATTTTACTAGTTCTAAGGCTGAACCATAATAAGAAAATATTTTGTTCATTTTTGTTGAATAACGAACATAAATACGTTGATGAAAAGTTTGATATATGGTTAAGAAAGTTTTCCCATTGGTATTTTCATTTATTTGTAATACATCAGTAAGCATAATTTTACTATTGTCAAGTTGAATTTGAAATAGATCAAATAAATTTATGCATCCTTGACAAACATGATTGATATAACTCAAATTCTTATTATAGTCAAATAATGTTGTAAAAAATTTAATACTATTAACATTAAAGTTGTGTTTTAAATAATCCAAATCATTATGCATATTAGGAAACAGTTTAATTGATTGTGAAATCGGTAGAATTTCCCATTTCGAACAACTATGTATCAGTCGATTGATAAATATATGAAATAGTTTTATATCTGCTTGTAAGATTGAATAACAAGATTCTGAATAAGACACGTGTAATTCATTATCTTGTTTTTCAGATTCAATACTTTTTACATTTATTTCTGTACTAGTTGCAACAACTTTATCTGACTTGTCAACAGATAGGATTGGATTAGCACTTGCTTGTGAGCACACTGAAACGATAAGATAACACAGTATATGTAACTGATACTTAACTAATGAGTATTAAAAAACTTACGTATTGGTTGATTTCGACAGGTTGTAAGAAAATTTTGCCAAATTTGACATTTTGAGTATGGAATAAGTTCTTTAGCATATTTAGCAAGTACTATGAATTCAGAAGGAATTTCAACAGAATAAACAGCATCTGTCATCAACTTTTCTTGTATGTTTTGAACCTGATTTACAAGATTGGCTTTGTCATTTGCATTTTGACAATATTCTTTGACACATGATAGAATTGTGTTACAAATATTATTCTTAGTTTGGAATTCTTCATTGCCTTCCTCGAGCATTAGTTCAAACGAGTGTGGTCTTTGTTTTGATACTTGTATCAAGTTCCACATATGATTGGCTATGTCTCGTTGGTCAGTATTTTGCTTTTTCCAAGCCATAATATGATGCGCATATAATCCAATTTCTTCCCAGGATGTCCACATGATGTTCATTTGTTGAACAACTTTCTCATAAATGGATAATTTTCGAAAACAATCTTTAAATAAAATCGAATAAATGAATGTTGATTTCATAGGCCGTATGAATGTATCTTCAAAAATATCTTTTTCGGTAATAGTAATTTTTGCTAATGTGAGTTCAATTAAATCGTGGATAATTTGACTTTCATCCTTGTAATTGTTATTGATTTCAATTAATTTTCGCAACGGATTATCAACCGAATTCATGCGTTTTAAATCATCAGATGTCGAATTACTTAAAACTGCTTGCACAAATTTGACTTTGAATTGATCAATAAAGATTTGATTTTTCACAAATATGAATCCGGTTTCAAGCATAAGAAATGGCGAGTCTGTACGATAAAGAACATAATAATCTTACGAATAATTTTCGTGAACAATAGATGAATAAATATATCAGCAAGAAAAAAAACCAAATTGAGTACAGTTTACAATCTTAGCATGATTATTTCAATTGTTCACGTATTCAATTTTTTCTTATACACATCTTATCTACACGGCAATCGTAGAAACTATTCTTGAATGAATTTTTTCGAGGAAATTTTAACTAAATATTGTTGGCTTACTATAATGACTTACGTTCAAACGATATCAGAATGCTTGCCAACAATTGTTTGATATCAAAATTAAATCTGTGCCTATGAATCAATCATCAATAGATCGTTTTGATCAATCTTAATGCAAAAGAAAATGTTCGTATGTGCTCAAGAGATATTCAATATGAAGTAACGACTATCAAAATCTGAGAAATCATAACTAAGTTTGATCTCAATGTTTGACACATGATTAGAATGTATTATAATGAAACCAAACAGCCATAGTAGGAAAAAAATGATTAAACATGAGGAACAATATGAACAGATATTTTACCTTGTTTGAAGCAAATATCAATCATATGATGAACAAATAGTTCACGACATTTTTCTTGATTACTGCCGGTTTGTGCCGACATAAAAGGTTCCAGTAATGCATCAATTCTTGTCATTATTAAATGAAGTTTCGATTGATCATGTTCAAAATAAGATGTCCATTCTTTGATGAGATTTTGATATTCTCGTCGCTCATTATCATCGTTCATCAAGAAGTTATCATTAGTCATAAAACATAAAAACCATTCTATATAAAAATGAGAAGATTGAGAAGGATCGTTTTTCAATAAGTTTAATAGAAAATGTTGACGATCGAAGTTTCGTAGAAGTGATGAATGAGGTACAAAATTAATAATTGTTCTCAAACTTTCGACATGATCAGTAATTTCTCCTAGATTGTACAAGTAATCATGAATTTTATTTTTCACTTGAGTATTAGATCGTATTTCTAAACTAATAATTTCTTCTAAATCATTTGTACATTGATCATTCGTTATCAATGGACGTTCCATCAATTGGAGTAAAAAAATTATACTTTTGAGATCCACTACAATAGATAAGAATAATTATTTTCTTTTAGTAAATCAAATTAGCCACAAAAAATAATCATCACACGACCGTGAATTTATATACTATCTGTACAACCTTAGTGCTCAGTTTGCTAGCTCTTACAATAATTTATAAATCGTAAATAATAAATTTATGATGTTTCGTACTAGAGAATTAGTATATGTGTAAATCTATTCACTATCATTATTTTAGCTCAATTA